CCACTGCCAGAGATCTTGAATAGCCTCCTGGTCAGTCATCTGGAACCAATTCTTCACATAATTGATAAACTTGGCTTCCACTTTCGGAGGGGACCACCTTTTTCTATACTTGCTTGCATTTTGCTTAATGTCTTCTACAGAGCTAGGTCCTTTCGGTGTTTTAGGTGTTTTTTCCTGTTTTTTGAAGGATTCTTGACCTTTTGATCTTGGTGTTGATGGTTTTGAGTCTTTTCCATTTTGGTTCGATTTTTGTGCATTTTTGGCTGGAGTATCTCGCACACATTTCTTTACTGGAGCTTTTTCTTCAACTTCCTCATCAAAATCGTCATCATCATCATCGTCTTCATCATCATCATCGTCATCTTCAACATCATCGTCATCTTCATCAGCAGCAAGCTTTACTTTTTTCTGGGGAAACTTGCTACCACTTCCAGGGGCAGAACGCTTTCCAGATATACTTAGGAGTTTCACATCCTTCTCCTCTTCATCTTCTGACTCTGCCTCTTCCTCCACAGCTACTAAGTGCTGTCCACTGATATGCACAGGCCCTGAACCACATTTCAACGGTAAGACCACAGGTGGTGTAATTTCAAAGCCCCCAAGAAGAACCATTGGCTGTACAGATATTTTCAAAGTTGCCAGTGTTGCTTTAATTGGACTGCCTTCATCATTCATCATCTCTGCTTCAACAATGTGTAACTCATCCTTTGCTCCAGCCCCTAAACTGACCGTTCTTAAAGATAACTGGTGCTCATTTTCATCATTATCCACTTTGAAGTGATAATCTCTGTCAGCCTTTAGTTCACAACCGAAAAGATAGTTCTGGGGCCTCAAGGGCCTCATGTCCATGTCCATTGAATCCTCCATGGGTTGGCGGCACGCACTTATGTGGGAGAGAAGCTAGACGGGATTAAACAACTTCTGTTCAAACGAGCAGCCGCGCAGGACAGAATCACACCAGGGACCAAGTATTTATTTTAAAAATAGATATATCACAGAAATTTTCTCTGAGAATAAAAAGATAGGAAAGATTCCTTGACTTATTTTATGAGGCAAAAAACTCTCAATACCAATACTTGACAAGAAATTTTAAGAATAGAAAAACATTATAAATAAAACATTAGAAAATTGGATCCACATAATACATTATAAGCAAATTATATAAACAAAATTTTGTTTTACCATTTGAGAATTTAAGTGTGACTCAAAACATTAAAAATAGAAAAGATAAAAAACATTTTGTCATCTCAAGAAATTCAGAATAAGCTCTTAATGAAATTCAATAGTCATCCATAATAAAAATGATAATTAAAAAATTTAATAACTTTGAAAGAAAGTGTTCTTAATCCGAAAAAAAAAAAATATCCATGATACACTTAGAGATTTTACCATAACTAAGATTGTTGTTTTTCAGTCACTCGGTCGTGTCTGACTCTTTGCGACTGCATGGACTGCAGCACTCATGTCCATTGAATTAGTGATGACATCCAACCATCTCATCCTTTGTCATCCCCTTCTCCTCTTGCCCTCAATCTTTCCCAGCATCAGGGTTTTTTCCAAAGAGTTGGCTCTTTACATCAGGTGGCCAAAGTATTGAACTTCAGCTTCAGCATCAGTCCTTTCAAGTAATTTCAGGGTTGATACCTAATATTAATTGTTGGAATATTCTTATCCAGTAAAAGTAAAAAGATAGGAATGTCATCTGTCAATTCTATGCACTGGTTCAGAGTCAATGCCATTGGACAAGAAAATGCAGTAAAAGGTAGCAAGAGGGCTCAAAAAATTTGAGAATTTTTATATTTACAGCTATTATGAGAGTATGAATAGAAAATCCAAAATGATTTACAGATAAAATATTATATTTAATAAGTTAGTTTAACATGCACCCTGGAACCTAGGACAAAATATTTTAACATATTTCTATATATTAGCAAAAATCAAGCTAACACATACACATGCACAAAAACTCTCATATAAAAAAGAGTTGAAGAGCTCTTGTATTGTGAGACTTAAGATTTATTTTTGAAAGTGTTTCATCTACAGGTCATAGTTAAAGTTGTGAGTAAATTAACATTTTCCAAAGTAAGGAAACTTAGGGGAAAAAACACAGGTCAAAAAAACTACCTTTAAGAGATGATGACTTGGTGGAAGGAGGAGAAATAAGAGGAGTGAAGAAAACAGAGAAAAGCTATAAAAAGAATATGAAAAAGCTATTACAAGACATCAGAAAGCAAAATCATACCCGAATTTTTACGCAAGTAAAAATTCTAGCTCAGCTTTAAAAGGAAAAATGAGATTGTTGTGCTCAAATAACTAAAATATCCAGAGGTAGGTCAGTCTCAAGATTTGCTCTTTGGCTCTGTCCATCCTGTTCTATTTCTGAACTTCATTCCTGGTCCAGCTTTAACTACGCAACAAAATTCTACAGCAACTTTGAGCTTAGAATGAATTATACCATCCAGATGAAGAGTCCTTCTTTTTTCAACCACTGAATATAAACTATAGACTTCAGTTAGGTTAGAGTACCAATTATTACAACTAAGTGATGAGAGGGGAGGTGAAATGCTGTATATTACCTTAGACCTTAGCTCTTACCTGGGGTCTGTTTACTATCCAGGGACATTCGGAAATGTTTGAAGATCTATTTGGTTATTATAACTTAGGGAGAAACTACTGACATCTAGTAACAGAGGCCAGTTCATTTCAGTTCAGTCAATCAGTTGTGTCCAACTCTTTGTAACCCCGTGGACTGAAGCATGCCAGGACTTCCTGTCCATCATCAACTGCTGGAGTTTGCTCAAACTCATGTCCATCAAGTCGGTGATGCCATCCAACCATCTCATCCTCTGTTGTCCCCTTCTCCTCTTGCCTTCAATCTTTCCCAGCATCAGGTCTTTTCCAATGAGTCAGTTCTTCACATCAGGTGACCAAAGTATTGGGGCTTCAGCTTCAGCATCAATCCTTCCAGTGTTGCTAAAATTCTTACAAAAGTGCATTGAACAACTCCCCACAACAAAAAATTAATCAGCCCAAAGTATTAGTAGTCCAGGGCTTGAAAAATCTTTAGACAGGATGTTCTTAAAATTAAATGTGCATTCAAATAACCTAAAAGGCTTATGAAAACACAGCATTATTGTTCCTATTCCAGGATTTTTTTTTTCAATAGATTTAGTGTTGAGCTTGAAAATTTCTTCTTCTAACAAGCTCACAGGTACTACTGCTACTGCTGGTTCATAATCCACACCCCCAAAAAACACAGACTAATCAGGGTCCTGGCCTTAGCTGAGGGTGCAGTGAAGCGTAAAACAGCTTGCCTACCCTGTAAGATGCTACTGCTACTGCTGCTAAGTCACTTCAGTCGTGTCCAACTCTGTGCGACCCCTTGGACAGCAACCCACCAGGCTCCACCTTCCCTCGGATTCTCCAGGCAAGAATAATGGAGTGGACTGTCATTTTCTTCTCCAATGCATGAAAGTGAAAAGTGAAAGTGAAGTCGCTCACTCTTCGAGAACCCATAGACTGCAGCCCACCAGGCTCCTCTGCCCATGGAATTTTCCAGGCAAAAGTACTGAAGTGGGTTGCCATTGCCTTCTCTAACCCTGTAAGATGAGGTAGTGTTTAATGCATGATGGAGAAATAACCAGATGTACTGATGGATCAGAGAAAAAAAAATGTCATTTGAAAAGTCATTTCCTACCCTTCCCATATCATGACATCTGTATTGTCCTAGCATGATGAGGTTGCAGAACTGCTTCCAGTAACCCTGCCTTCTCCAAAACTTCCACTTGCTCTAACCTCCCTTCCTAAATCCTACAAATATATACTCAGAATCTCTTCTCCCCTTTCCTGTTATATTTATTAAATAAGCTTAGATTTTTAAAGTGAAGTTTCTAGGAAATTGTAAAATAAGCAAAAGGATGAACAAACATAAGTAAAAGTCAAAATTTTGACTCGATATCAAAGATATCACAGATATCAAAAATAGCACAGATATCTAAGTCCCTGAGAGCAATAAAAACCTCTTGACTCTTTGCTTAAATATTTAACAACCATCTGCACTATTACCCCTCACCCATTCCAACTCATATTGAGAAATATGAACCTTTTCTGACAAATAAATCTTTACGTGTAAACTACACTTATTGTATGGGCACAAGTGATTTTCTCCAGAGGAGTTCAGAGCAGAAACAAGGAAATCATGTTATTCTTGGCTATGTGGAAATACTTTAGTAAGAGGAAAATATAGAATATCAACTAAAGAGCGGGAAAAAAAGAAGGAAAGGTGATTTGAGGGAAAAGACCCTTATTGAAGCAATTATATCAACTCAGATTATGTTATTAAACAAATACATAAGCAAGTTAAAGATCTTGCCTAGAACCCACCTAGAATAAGCCCCTCTCTAAAGGAACTTATAAGTAGAAGGAAAAGAAAAACAAAAAGAACTGCCGTGTTGTGGATACAGAATACTGTGGACCTGAGCATGATATCAGTCAAGGGAGGGTTATTTCCATTGTATCATTAAGGAAGGCTTCCTGGAGAAAGGAACTCCTTTGCTGATCCTCATGGTTAGAAAATCAGCCAGACAGAGATGGAGAAATTATGTTAAAAATTCTCAGCATCTCTGAAAATATAATTATCTTGGCATAATAATAGTTAGCTCACTTTGAAAAATGGTATTACAGCAGAAACAGAAAAAAAATTTTCAAGTAAGAAGCAAAAGAGATGTCACCATAAAAGTTGTGTACATCATTTCATTTATTACAAGGTATATTCTTTCCCACATCTCACATCCAAGAAATCTGAGTTGATCCTAATATTAGTATTGTCTTATAATATATAAACAACTTTAATTCTGTTTCTGATCTTACAATCTGTAGGAACTCTGATTTGATCAGATGATTATTTGATGAAATATGATGAAATTGACTACTGGGCTGACCACTTGAGTTTCTGGGTTCCTGGGTACTTGTTCCAAATGGAAAAGGAGACAGTGAGGGGCTCACAAGATAGTCTGATATGACCTGTTAAGAGCACAAGCAAAAAATCACTCTGCATAAGAGATATTTCACACCATGTTCATAGCCAGCACTATTCACAAGAGCCAAAAGGTGGAATCAAACTATCTGTCCATAGGCAAATTAATTTATAATCTAAAATGCATTACACAGTCTTAAGAAGGAAAGAAATTCTAATATGTGCCACCACATGAATGAATTATGAACACATAATGCTAAGTGAAATAAGCCAGTCACAAAAAAACAACACCGATGATTCCACTTTTAAGAGGTTCAAGATTCATACAGAGATTAATATAGAGAGAAACTAGCACAGTGGTAGCCAGAGCATGAGGAGTGTAGTTTAACTGGCATAGGACTTTAAGTTTTTCAAGATTAAAACAGTTCTATGTTTTGGTTGCACAAAGTGTCAAGGTACTTAATACTACTAAACTGTACATTTAGAAATGACTAATGTGGTAAATTTTATGTCATATATATTTCACCACATTTTTTAAAAAATACATTTACACAAAGATGGGAGTTGGAAAGAAATGGGAAAGGATCTGGTGGAAATATTGAGGCTACAGTGATAGATAAAATGGAGGGAAAGAGTGAGAGGATGGACAGAAAAGTAAAACTGAATAAAAAACTCACCAGCGCCTCCAAAACCACAATGCAAGACATATCAAAAGGATGATTACCACTATTATTACCACAAGTATCAAGCCAATGGAGGTGGAGTGTCCTAGCAATTGAGAGAGGACACAGGGATATCACTTCAAACCCATTCTCTATTTCTCTTGGCCTTCTTGCCCACTTGAGTTTCAGCACCTCCATTACCCGCTTCTGACACATGGGCATCTCTGATTCCCTGTCTCATATTCCTGGAAGGCTTATACTCACAGCCACATTTTATGTCTCTCTCTTGTCCCATCTCTAGTCTGCATTCTTCTTTCTTACCTATTCTATACCTTAGATTAGCTAATTTCATTCCTCTGGCACCATTGTCCCAGAAATAAACCTCAACCTGACTCTCTGTCTCTGTCTCAATCTCTCTCTCTGTTTTCTCTCCCACTCTCTCCCTCCCTCTCTCATTCATTAAATCCCTTATCTTCTGCAGGCCCCCGCTCTGTGCTTGAGGACCACCTCCTCCCATCCCCAGCTGGGCTCCACTTCCTCCTCACCCCAGTATAGGATGATGTCCTGGTCTCCCAGGCTGCTGTGCTTCACTTGGCAGCTCAGGCCAGCCGCCTCCACAGCCGCCACATCCAGGGTTACCCGGAGATACCACGTCCAGTCTGCATTGGGCATGATGTCTCCTTGCTGAGTGCCAGGCTGCTCCTGCTCACCCCTCATCCACATCACCCGCACGGGTTTTGGGTAGAATCCTGAGACGTGGCAGACCAGCCGCAGGTGGCCAGGCCGGGGAGGGGGGCCACTGGACAGCCAGGCCTCTGGCTTCACTGGGGTAGGAAGGAGCAGTAAGAACGTCAGATTACGACTCTAATCCAGAGCATAGAGACTCGGAAACTCAGAAGTTTGGATAGTGACCTCTTCCATTTCTTTGGAAACCAAATAATTTAATAATGAAAACACTCTCCTTTTAGGTACCTCCCACTTTTGAATTTAAAGAAGGTGATGAAAGGTGAAACAGAAAAGCCTTGGGGAGAGAACAGGACTAACCTTGCCTCTGCAGTTCTGCTTTCCCTGCATCAAGGACACTGAGGAGATACCGAGGGCAGGTTTCTAAGAGGAGCTTGGCTACAGTATCACAGATGGCTTGGTACTGAATGATGAGTGCACAGAAACGCTGGGCCTTGCTGCCGCCCTGTGGGGCAGGCACACATGAATCATTCTTGATGCTCACGAAATCCAGGCCTCCTAAAGCTCCCTGCAAGAAGCTTCTTGTGGTCTTCCCAGTATGCAGCTCACAGCCTGCTATGCCCTGGATCACAAAGGGGTCTGGATAGAAAGAAAACAGAGACAAAGTTTTTTAAAGCACACAAGAAAGAAAGAAACGGGAAAAGGAAATGGGATTTTACATTTTGATGGAAAGGTCTGAGATGTGAAATGACTCAAAAAAAAAAAAAAAGCCATATTCAGAGACTTTTCAGAAAAAAGCATTTGGGAGAGTTACACATGTTGTAAATGGTGGAAATGTGCTCTTATAAGGAATAGGTGGTCAAGAGGGGGATCAGAAGTACAGCATTCCAGCCTGAAGGGGGGAGTTACACTGAGAGAAGGGATCAGGCACAAGATGCTTGAGGAGACAGATTGGAGGGATTCATTCACTCAGCAACAGAGTAGGTAAAGTGAGGACTTGTTACTTGGGGTGTGAGAAAAGCAAGTTATGCACAAACAAACCAGGAAATGTTCACAAAGGAGGAATTTCATCTATGGCAGAAGAGTTCAAAGAATAGGAAAAATCTGGGATACCAGGTAGAGGTATGGAGTCAGGGTTTGAGACTACTCTAGAGAGGTATATACATGCAGAAAGCATCCCCAGTTCAGAGGATTGTACTCACATTCCAACTGGAATTCACTGACATGGTCCTGCACTTCTCGAATAAATCCAATGAGGTAGACTCGGAATAGTTCCTCCAGCTCAGCCACCTCCTCATCACTGAAGTTGCCCTTCGACCAGGGCTTCAGGAAAATGGCAGTGCCTGAGTCACTGTCCCAGCCATGAATCTGCAAATCGTCCAACCAGCCTGAGCCTAGATTTTGAGCCCAAGTGCTGTTAGCAAATGTCGAAATCTGGATGACATGGAAGGAGGTTGGCCCCTGGAATGCTGTGGTGGTGGAAGGATAGGAAAAGTGAGGCAAAAGAGAATTAGGATAAAATGAAAAAGAACCCAGAGTCTGAACAACATAGAGCCTGAAACAGTTCCCTGCCCCAAGTCTTCTTGCTCAGAGTCCTCTTCTCTGAGCTTCCTCGAGCAGCTCCCACTTCTCCCAAGAGAAGTACAGGAACACATCCTCAAAGGTCACACAGCCCTGCGCCGGGTTCCTCAGCGCTGCCGCACCTGCCACTGCCACAGGACACAGTGGGTGGAATGGGGCCCCGAGCGGCGGGAAACGTTTCTGCAGGCGTCTGCCCGAGCTCCATCGTCAAGGGCCCTGAGGACAGCGGCCGGGGCCTTTTTTGAACATTTGACGTCATGTTTTTGCTGTTGTTTGACATCATTTTAATCCCGAGGTTCGGAGTTTGACGCGCCGCCTGAGGTGACCCTGCCCTGGTCTCCCGCCGCTCGGGGCCCCATTCCACCCACTGTGTCCTGTGGCAGTGGCAGGTGCGGCAGCGCTGAGGAACCCGGCGCAGGGCTGTGTGACCTTTGAGGATGTGTTCCTGTACTTCTCTTGGGAGAAGTGGGAGCTGCTCGAGGAAGCTCAGAGACTCCTGGACCCTGATGATGCTGGAGAACTCTGCACTTGTGTCATCGCCGGGACTTGTGGTTTCCAGGTCTCACGGAGCTACCCATCTGCAGCCGGAGGGGAGCCCGGGGTGTCTGAGGAGGTAGCCACTACTCCAGTCATAGCAGAGAAGACCTGGAGGAGGCCTGACCTGGTCGTTGGCCCGGAGCGGCAGGTGAGGCTGCACCTTCTGAGCAGCAGGTGAGCCGGCCACAGATGAGAACTCCCCAGGCTGAGCCTTCCATCCACACGGCTCACCTCTGTGACATGTGTGGTGAAAGACGGTCTTGAAAGACAGTTTGGCTTGGCTGAGCCGCTGGGAACTCCTAGCAGGTGAATCATGGGGAGAGACTTCCGGTGTAGTGTAAACCTCGACCGGATGCAGAAGTGGTGGAATGGAGTCTTCAGAAGAGAAAATATAGGCTTCGTTTGTAAAGTACTGCGGATCATGTGCATCAGAGACGGCCTTCACTTGCAGGGAGAGTGGAGAGAACTTCTGCGCCAGCACCCGGCCAGTCACCATGGGCAAAAGCCACACGGGCATGTCGGGAGCTTTTTCTTTGCTGTCATGGCTAACAGGTCCTTTTGGGTATTGGGTACCCATTGAGCCAGAAAGCACAACTGAGGCCATAAAGCCTTCTGCTTCTCAATGGCCCTTGTCAGAAGGAATGTTGCTCCAGGGTCAGTTGACTCTGGGACTCTGGGTTGGAGCAAACTAGGAATCAGAAATGCAGGAAGAGACCTTGAGCCCAGAGACAGTTTCCCACAAGGAGAGTCTCTGCAGGAGGATAAACTGTGAACACAGTGATATGAGGACAGGTGACAGTCTGCACTCCAGCAATTATTCTCACAATCCTCCAGAAGATGATTTTCATAAACAGAACTCACATGCACCAGGGAAAGCATCCATGATCTACATAGAGAAGAATCTCTGCAAGTGGAAGAAATGTGTGGAAGGCTTCAACAAACATTGATGTGCCTTTCTCATGAGGGTGGGCCCGAGTCAGCACATGAAGATTTATGCTCAGCAGAACCACCTGAGTAGTCAGGCTCATGCAGCAACAACACATTCACACTGTGAAGTCTTATGAAAGCAAAGAACACAGGAAAGTGTCTTGTGTCTGCTCTGCTTTTGTCCCAAGTAACATTTCCCACTCCAAAGACAGTCACACTTTGAGTGCAAAGTATGTGGGTATACCTTTTGTGACAGCTGTTTTTTCACTCATCATGTGAGGGTTCTCACAGGAGAGGTTCTCACAGGAATGCATGTGCAGTGTACATTCACTGAACCAAGTGAATGAAAAGCCTTCACTCACCCTTATTTGTCTGGCCTAATAGGATCCACACTGGAGAAAAACCCTTTGAGTGTAAGAATATCAGAGAGCCTTCCATTATAGCTCCTCCCTGATTCCACATGGGAAGACTCACATGAAGGAGAAACCCCATGAATCCAGTGCATGGGGACAGGCCCTCTGCCTTCATTCATCCCTTACCAAGCCCCAGAGTGTTCATACTGGGGAGAAACCCTGTGAGCATAAGAAATGGGTGAAAGCCTTTTACAAGTGGACTTGTCTCAGGCACTGTCAGAGAACTCATACTGGAGAAAGACCTTTTGAATGTAACTTCTGGGGAAAATCTTCTGAATAGAGGAAGCGTCTTACTCTGAGGAATTATACCAAAGAGAAATAAGTGTCCATATGCTGTGAGAAAATCTTCTGAGGCCAGTCATCACTTATTGTCATCGGAAGAAGCGTATAGGAAATGGATCCATCCTAGGACATTGAATCTGAGAATTTATAAAGGAGAGAGAACCAGTGACTACTGTGCAATTTTGAAGATCTTCAACCATAGCTCTACCCTTACTAAACACTGAAAAAGCAACCACAAGCATATTTAAAAAATAAAAACAAGGGAGAAAGAAAAATAAGTAGATGTAACAGGCAAAGAAATGTATTTATGACTTTTTTTCTGGTTTTCCTGAGAAACCTATGACAGTTTATTGGCTGTTTTTGTTGTTGTTGTTGTTGTTGTTGTTGGGTGGCAGGGAGGTGTTTGAGAGATAAACACCTGAATTAATATGAACTGTGTGCTACACCACATCAGGAAAGCTGGAAGTTTGAGAACAGTTCTTCAAATGTTACTTGTTACAAAACATTGTCTTAGGTGACGCCTTGATTTATGAAGCCTTTTAAACTTAAATTAGGATACAAAATATTGTCTAAAATTATAATGTAAAGACATAAGGACACACCTATGAATAGGTACATTTACTTTACTACTTAAAACTGTTTAAGGCTTCATTTTTATTTTATTTATCCATTAATTATTGACATATAATTGACATATAACAGTGTGTATGTTTAAGATGTACAACATATTTATCTGATACATTTATACTGTAGTATGATTGCCATTGTTGCATTAGTTAGCCTCTGTTGTGCCACAGATTTATCATCCCTTCTAGCGGTGGGAACAAATAAGAATATCATCCCTTGGCAAGTTTAATGTTTGTAATATAGTTTTGTTGTCTGTAATCCCTGTACTTTTTATTAGAGCTCTAGGAATTATTTGTCTACGAGTTGTAAGAATATACCCTGAACACCATCTCTCCCATCCCCTGACCCCACCCCTGGCCTTTGGTACCATCACTGTAATGTTTTCCAGGTCAGTTTTTGGTTTTGCTTTGCATTTTCCACATATAAGGTATGTTATACAATATTTGACATATATCACTTAGCATAAAGTCCTCAAGGCCCATCTGAATTGCTGAAAACGGCAGGGTTTCCTTTTTATCAGTGCTGAGTAGTATTCCATTGTTGATATATATAGGTTTTTATTTATTTATCCATTGATGGACACTTTGGTTGTTTCCACATCTTCACTATTGTGAACTATAATAAACATGGAAGTGCTTATAAAAAAAAAAGAAGCAATTGACAAAGGATTAATCTCCAAAAGTTACAGCAACTCATGCAGCTCAATATCATAAAAAACAAACAACACAATTAAAAACTGCACAAAAGACCTAAATAGACATTCCTCCGAAGAAGACATACAGATGGCCAACAAACACATGAAGATATGCTCCACATCAAGGGGTTATTAGAGAAATGCAAATCAAAACTGTGATGAAGTACCACCTCACACTGGTCAATATGGCCATCATCCAAAAGTCTACAAACAATAAATGCTGGAGAGGTGTAGAGAAAAGTGAACCCTTATGGACTGTTGGTGGGAGTGTCAATTGGTACAACCGCTATGGAAAACAGTATGGAGGGTCCCTAAAAAACTAAAAACAGAACCATGATATGACCCAGCAATCCCACTCCTAAGCATATATACAGAGAGACCATAACTTAGAAAGATTCATTCACCCTCAGTGTTCATAGCAGCACTGTTTACAGCAGCCAGGACATGGAGGCAGTTTAAATGTCCATCAAAAGAGGAATGGATTAAGAAGATATGAGGGCTTTCTTGGTGGCTCCTGGTAAAGAATCCACCTGTCAATCTAAGACACATGGGTCTGGGAAAATCCCACATACTGCAGAGCAACTAAGCTCATGGGCCACAACTGTTGAGCTTGTGTTCTAGAGCCTGAGAGCTGCAGTTACTGAGCCCACATGCTGCAAACACTGAAACCCACACACACTGAGGCCTGTGCTCTGCAACAAGAGAAGGCACTGCAATGAGTAACCCCCATTACTGCAACTAGAGGAGAGCCCCCACAGCAGTGAAGACCTAACATAGCCAGAAAAATTAATAAATGAAGTAAAACAGAATCAGAAAAATAAATATCATATATGAACACATATATGTGGAAGTTAAAAAAGTGGTAAAGATGAACATGTTTGCAAAGCAGAAATAGAGACACAGATGTAAAGAACAAATGTATGGATAGCAAGGGGGAAAGTGGGTGGGAGCAACTGAGACATTGGGATTCACACATATACACAGTTAATACTGTGTATAAAATAGATAACTAATGAAAACCTACTGTATAGCACAGGGAAATCTAATTAATGCATTGTGGTGACCTGAATGGACAGCAATGTCCTAAAGGGAGGGAATACATGTATATGTATGTTGTTTCATGTTGCTGTGCAATATCGACTAACACAACATTCTATAGCAACGATACTACAACTTTTAAAAAACAGAAATAGAACAAACTTGGAGATTCCTGGTTTCTCCTCAAAGAATATACATAACAATATCTTTGAGAGCACTAGCAGAAAATAAGACCACCACACCAGATGAGGATGCCAGCATAGGCTGAATAAAAGATTCGGGTACGTCCCCCTGTTACCTCACCACCAAAAAGAAGAAAAGTCTCACACCCTGCAGTCCTCCCCACAAATTTTGCCTATAAAAACATTTC